AACTGCCATTTCCAGGTTATTCACTGCTACAGGGAAAGATGAAAGTTGAAACTGCTCAGCAAAGGGATTAAAATGGATTTTATGTGATATATTTTATTTATGCCCATTGATATTCTTTTATATAATTCTCCCTGTTTTATATGGAGGTGGCATCCACTCGTAGTCAAAACACTTTGTGGATCAAATATTTATTCAGTCATTTAATAGAATGTATGACTTTAGTCACTAATCCTCTCTTATCCCCTGGTTTCCTCATCTGTAAAATAGCTTAATAGTATCTTTGTTATAGGACTTCTGATTGAATTAAATGAAAGGATGAGTGAAGTGGTTGGTGCAGAGAAGATGGCCGAGAAAAGTTAGTTCCTGATTTTCAGCAAAGATAAAGCAACAGGGACTGAATTTACCCTTTTACATGAAACAATTCACAAAGCAGAAAAATCTTATAAAATATTTTGTAATTGCACATTAGACAGATAGGATGATGATCCCTGAGAGAGTGGAAACACACAAGGAAATCCCTGTTATTGCCTGGATAGAATTTCCAGGCCACAGCGCAAAGGAGCAGGGAACCAGGCAGGGATTTAGGGACCCCAGAGTTGAGGAGACAAAGCTGGAAGCTGATGTTTGAGCTGGGAAAACCACAGGGTATATCCAGGCCTGGTACGGTCATCGCACATTAATTTTAGGTTCATTCATTCCCCCATCTCAACTGGCTCATTCTTGATTTACTTCTGGGCTTTCTGCCCTCCATCTTCTCATTTATGTTGTTGTGAGCTTGTCGGGTCTCTGGAAACCATCAGCCTTCACAAGAGAAGGGTAAGAAGGTGCTTTGTCTTTCTCGTGGGGATGGTTTGTGCCAGGAGAGCCGGCTGGGCAGGCTTCTTTGTTTCTGGTAATTAGGCTTCAGCCTTCAGTCACCCGGTGATCAGATAGCAGCAGTGGCCACAATTTATCAGGGAGAAAGTACACAGAGTTATTTAGCTAACGCACTCCTAATCGCTCCATCTGCTTAATGGGTAAGTTTATACAATATGTGGGTCTCCATAGTGACATAGCCTGGTAATATCCACCCCACCTACAAAACTAAACATCTACCTGTTTTCCCTGGCTCTGAGTGCTCAGTGAGGACTGTTTTAATTCTCCATGGCTGCCGTAACAAGCTACCACAGACTAAGTGACTTAAAGCAACAGAAATTCATTCTCTCACATTCTGGAGGCCCGAAGTCTGCAGTTAAGGTGCTGGCAGGGATTTGCTCACACTGGAGGCTCTAGAGGTGGACCCTTCTCTCTTTTCCAACTTCTGGCAGCTTCAGACATTCCTGGCTCATGGCATGATAATCCCAGGGTCTGCCTCCGTCTTGTTATGGTCAACTTCCCTCTGTATCTGTTTCTGTGTCTCTTCTCGTGCAAGGACAACAGAGACTCTGGATCAGGGTCTACCCCAATCCAGTATGAACTCACCTTGATTACAGCTGCAAAGACCCGATTTCTAATTAAGCTCACATTCACAGGTACCAGAGATGAAGGCTTCCACTTATTTTTTTGGGAGGCACAATTCAGGGGTTTCAGCCCTTTCTTTTAGGTCAGTGTTACCCAAATTTTTATTTTCAACTTTAAAAAATATGTAATTTGAAGCCGAGCATGGTGGCTCATGCCTGTAATCCTAGCACCTTTGGGACGCTGAGGTGGGTAGAATGCCTGAGCCCAGGAGTTAGAGACCAGCCTGAACCAAAGCGAGAGCCCCATCTCAACTAAAAATAGAAAAGCTAGCTGGGCATTGTGGTTTGTACCCGTAGTCCCATCTACTTGGGAGGCTGAGGCAAGAGGATAACTAGTGCCTAAGAGTTTGAGGTTGCTGTGAGCTGTGACGACATGGCACTCTACCCAGGGCGACAGAATTTCTGTCTCAGAAACCCCCTCCCCCAAACCATAATTTATATAATCTTTTTAAATTAAAAAATAAC